AGGGCTCAGGGTCGGGGGTCTCAGTGGACATCCTTGATTCTCTTGCACACCTGCTCCTGGGTGGCCAGGCTGGCAGCTCTCCTGCACTAGCCGGCCACTTTCCTGTGCCTAGTGTGGAGATCGTGGACGAAGTCCACAATGTCTGCACTAGCCCAGGCGGGTGCCCGCCTCTTGCAGTCCCGGGCAAGCTCCCGGGAGCCGCCAGCCTGGTCCCGGGGAGAGGGGGAGGCCTGGGGGGCACGGGCACCGTAGCCAGCCCGTGCCCCTTTAAGAGGTCCGGGGCCGGGAGGGGGGCAGTAGAGTTTCCCTGGTGTTGGCCAGAGTGGCCACCAGGGAAACCTGGGGAGGGCTAGCCTCCCACTAGTTCGAATTAAGGGGCTACACACCCCTTAATTCGAACTAGCTAGTTCGAACTAGGCTTAATCCTCGTGGAATGAGGATTACCTAGTTCGAACTAAGCGCTCCGTTAGTTCGAATTAAATTCGAACTAACGGAGCGCTAGTGTAGCGCCTATGAAAGTTAGTTTGAACTAACGTTCGTTAGTTCGAACTAACTTTGTAGTGTAGACATACCCTGGGTGTTGTGTAAGGAGAATACTTACACCATGGAGTCCTTCTTCAGAGAAATCTTTTAACAGTGAAGTGCACTTATGTTCTTGCAAAGCTTGAAAATACACAAAGCATTTTCTTAAAAGCAAAAAAAACAAACAAAAAAATGCAAACCAAAGGGCTCCCTCCTCCCCATCCATCCCAGTTTCTTTGGACTGTATAACATAGAATAGCAAAGGAACTCAAACAAAGCTCCGGAAAGCCAAGGAGCCATATTAAAGAGGGGTAGGGTTGGAGAAGGAGGGACTGAGGCAGATATAGTGGAGCATTGTTTTCCACGCTGCAAGATGAATGTGGAGAGAGATGCTTCTGCCACAAAGCATTTTTAAAAGGTTGCTGTTGAAATAGCATTGCTGAAATGAATTGAAGCTTTGAGGAAATGTCTCTCCATCCCCACCCATCCTCCCCTGAGATATACCTTGGGTTTTATAAGGTGGGGGTGGATCAATACAGTATGCTTTACAAAACTGAGAAGGATAAAGCAAACAAGTCATTATGCACGACCCTATTGACAGACCTGTCGACGGATACAGAGGGAGGAAGGTGCCCCAGGGCTGGATGATTCAAAGGGGCCGGGGCTTTGGTCGCTGATGTCACTGCTGCAGCCGTGGTGCGCAGAGCCCTTTAAATTGCTGCTGGAGCACCACGCAGCAAGCTTCAGGCAGCTCTTGGGGTTGTGGGGGCACCGCATGGCATGCTTCAGGCAGTGCTGAGAGCTGGGTGGCACAGACAGACAGCTGTCCTCAGCCCCACCCCTTCTGGGAGTGCATAGCCACCACCTTCTACATTGCCCAGGGGCCTAGCATGACTGTTGGCTCTTCTGCATACTTGTGCATCCAAACATTCAATAGTAGTCAGTAGCTCTGTTGGGTGTGCATATGAGGCTATATTCACTGTTCTAGTACTCAGCTCCAATCGCAGATTTGTGTACTGGGAATGATGCAAATTTGCATGAAGTTCTTAACATATCTGTTCTACGTGTAGGACCAGCTGGAAGTTGCATACAACAGAAGATCTTCTGGCCTTACCATTCTTGCGTGGCCATTCTTATTCTGGGAGCTTTCATGAATCTAAGCTCTTGTGTAGGGATGTAAGTGACTAGTCGACTACTGTACCCAATAAGCATACGTTTCCCCCCTCCTTGCTGCCTCTATCTGAGGCTGCGTCTATACTGCACCTTTCCTCCAGCAAAAGCTTATGCAAATGAAGCACGGAGTAGAATATCGCCACACTTCATTTGCATAATTAATTAGAGGCCGTTTTTGTGCAAGAGGCTTTTGCGCAAGAAGGAGCTGTGTAGACGGCTCTTTTTTGTGCAAAAAAAACCCCTCCTGTGCAAGAGCCTTTCTTCCTCATTTTTTCAGGAAGAACGGATCTTGCACAAGAGGGGGTTTTACTCAAAAAGGAGCTGTCTACACAGTTCCTTTTTGCGCAAAAGCCTCTTGCGCAAAAATGCCCCCTAATTAATTATGCAAATGAAGTGTGGCGATATTCTACTCCGTGCTTCATTTGCATAAGCTTTTGCAGAAGAAGGGTGCAGTATAGACGTAGTCAGAGAGAGGCAGCAAGCAGGGGAGCAGGAGCCGGTACTGGGGGGAGCCAGCTTAAAAAGGCAGGGGAGACAGAAGCATAGTGGAGGGACTGGGCGTGAGCCGGGAATCAGGTGTCCCATCTTGCACCTGGTCCCAGACACTGTGCTTCTGCTTTTTAAATGTATGAAGAGCCACTAATCTCTCAATATCTTTAAAAGTCAGCACCGCAGCAGGGTTAGCTCCCAGAGCTGGGAACTCACTCCACTGCAGTTTCCCCCATTATCGACTACTCAATTAGCTGATTAAACGCAATTTAACATCCCTACTCTGGTGCTGTATGACTCCTTGCCCTGAACTCAACCCTCTTCTCAATGCAAGTGCACCAGTTTCACCACCAGGGGGACCTCCACATTCACAGAGGTGGAGATAGGGTTTGCCTAAGACTGGGGAATCAGGACCCTTAATATAGTTTTGGGAGGTATGTGCAGAATTCAGATCCCATCAAAATGTCAGTGGTGCCAACTCATGATTTTACTGCAAGTTTTGCAATATTTGTTGTGACATGTTGGCAGCATTCAATGACAAAGCACCCATTGATTTCTGTGGATCCAGAATTTAACCTTTTATACTTGAAGTCCTAAATCCTGGAGACAAATGATTATGCAAGAATTTCAACTTTTATTTTTTTAAATGTAAGTTTCTAGCCTTCATGATATCACAGAAAAGCTTGAAAACAGGACCTAATAACTCTTAAGGTTTGAAAAACAGAAAGTAAATCAAAAGAACCCCATCTTTATTGTTTTAAACTCTCATGATTTTGTAAGCCAATTTCATGTTCTGGGGACCTGACACATGATTTTTTATGATGTTTGACATATGTTTGATAATATTTTAGTTTGGGTTTGAAAAGACGTTCAAGCAATGTGCCAGGTACATATGAGAACAGTGAAGGAGAAATGAGCTTTGTTCTGCTTGCTAACCTTGCTTGTGGATCAGGGAGATTATGTGAGTAACACACTGAATATGAATTATACATCCCTGAAGTCCTTATTTTGTGCCTATCCAGAAATGTAATCATGTGTCAAAGTATCTGAATGTCCTTCTGTTATTTAACTCTATCTGTGCAGAGACGTGTTAGTTCCAGATAGGGAAAGCAAATTCCACTCACACCATTTGTATTGTCCATTTAAAAATTAAATATAGGTAAATCAGAATGATTTAGGTGATGAATCCAGCTGCCTGTGAGTTTAAAAGCTGCTACACTTTTGCTGCTTGTCTTTTATTATAGGCTTTTGATAGGCTGAATACAAAAATAATGACTCTAATCCACACCCTTCTGATCTCAGGGAGACATTTGCTACACCATCTTTTGATGGAGGTATAATGCATGCACCTCTTTGTTCTGTGCAGAGCTGGTGGGGGGGGAAGGTAATGATTCTGTTCTTTCTCCAACCTCCCCTGCTCTTCTGGTAAACCCAGCACTGGTTGTAGGAATCAAACCAGAGAAGCCAAGAACTTCAGTGTGCCAGGTCACTGAGTTTGTGCCAAGTCCCTGTCACTGAATACTCTGAGTTCGTGCCAAGTCCTTGCTATGTAAAGAACCTAGATATAAATGGGAGATACATATACTATATTTTAAATGTAATATAATAAAACTTAACACTAATACCTTTTTATTGCTTGATCCGAAGTAATTTACAAATGTGGGTAATAGGGATGTGAACGACTAGTCAACTAGTTGATTATCCAATAAGCAAATGCTTATTGGATAGTCAATATGCTAATCAGCTAGTTGCTTCCCTCCCTTGCTGCCTCTATCAGAAAGAGGCAGCAAGTGGGGGAAGAATGAGGAGGGGGTGCTTCAAAGCGGCAGCCCAGGCTCCATGCCACTTTGAAATGCTGCGTGCAGCCCGGGGCCAGCTGGAGTCCTCAGCTGGCTTGGCCTGCACATGGCCCGGGGTCTGCTGCTTTGAAACACCATGCGCAGCATGGGGTCAGCTGGGGACTCCGAAACGCTGTGTGGAGCCTGATGCTGGGTTCCCCACAGCGTTTCAAAGCAGCAGCACTGCATGGAGCCCGGGGTCAGTTGAGGACTCAGAGTCCCCAGCTGACCTCGTGCTCCCTGCAGTGCTTTCTCCAGGGCTGTTGTTACATTTCAAAGGCTCTTATTGACTAATTGCTGACTGATTGGCAAATTAATCAAAATTTTACATCTCTAATGAGTAAATATTATTGTCCCACTTTGCAAATTGGCAAGTCAAGGCAGACAAAAGTGATTTGCCAAAGGCCATATGGTGTTTCAGTGACAGAACCTGGAGGAGAATGCAAGACCCTGAGATACAAGACAATCTGTGTGATGCCTTATCTTTTGTGCTACTTCTTGAATTTATTTTTTGTGGCAGTTATGTTTCTTCATTGGCTTGTGATTAACCATTGAAGTATTGCAGCTTGTTTACACTGTTGGTGGCATTTTGTGATCAGAGAATTAGCTACCCTTATTTTTCACTAATACTCAGAAAATCAGTGCAGTGAGATTTACTGCCTCTAGGCTTTAAGCAAAGTATCCCAAAGGTATATTAGACTTTCATATAAAGATCATGTATACTTCACAATTCATTTTTATTGACCTGTAGTAATTGTCTAAGTTGGATTCACTATATATATACTGAAGTCTGGCTAACATATATTGAAAAGAGCAAATACTGATTAAATATAGCTGCAAATGCTCTGATCGAGGAAGAGGTTAAAAGTGAGCTGGCCTTATCTTTGACTTCAGTGGAAGTATAGTTTGTTGACTTAAAGCTCAGTAAATGATTGTTGGAAACCTGTCATGTGTACTAGTGCATTGAAAAGGCACACCACGAACACTGCCTCCTTTTAAACAGTGTCTATCTGTTGCCATCTCCAGTCGCTCAAGATACCAAAAGATAGGTAAAATCTAACCGACCAGTCAGCATGGAAAAGGGAGGCTTTACTACCATTTATGAAAATGTAGAGAACACTAGCATCTATGAGATTCCTGATTCAGAGGAAGAAAAGGTAATGAATCTTTATGAACAAGTCCATGAAGACCCAGTATTTCCTTCTTCCCCCACTTCTCCAGAAAGCATGGATATCAGCTGTCTGGAGAGCCTGGATCACAGCTGCAGTAATTCGGTATCCTCTCAGCAAGGAGCTGATAGGGAGGATTGTTCAGCTACCTCTCAGCAAGCGGCTGATGGGGACGATAGTTCAGCTTCCTCTCAGCAAGGGGATGATGGGGACGATGGTTCAGCTTCCTCTCAGCAAGGGGCTGATGGGGAGGATGGTTCAGCTTCCTCTCAGCAAGGGGCTGAAGATGACCAGAATCTCCAGGAAGAGATGGTGATGATGAGTCCAACGCAGGATGATGAACATGGGGAAAGGATGGGGTTTGAAAACAAAATTCCGTCTCCTACTAGATTCAGTCTTCGTAATAGCCTGGGTACTTCCCCCAGCTTGCCAGTTTCCAACAGATTTCCAGCTAACAACAACTTTGGAGAAATGGACAACTTTCAGGAGGAGAGTGACATTTTCCTCTTTGTTAAGGTAAGGGATAACATTTGAACCAGAATCAATCCAAGTATCCTCAGATTCACTGAAGTGTACACTAAGTTCTGCCCCGGCTCTGCCACTGACATTCTGTGTGATATTAGGCAAGTTACTTATCTTCTCTGTGACTCAGTTTCTCCGTGTTAAATGGGATAAGTCTGCTTACCCAACCAAGTATACTGTTTCATCTTCAGAAAGTAGAATTCTTTCCCATGTTCAACTTTGGAATAGATTCAATTTATTTATTACAACAAATTGGATTAAGTTATTTCTGTGATACAGATGTGAAGGGCCTTTTAGTGAAATTCAAGTCAGATCTGAATCATTATGTATTAATT